TATTCCAAATTTGGCAGCAGAACCTCGTCTAGAGATGATATCTCATTACCGCTAACATCCAGGTTAGTCACCAGTCCTGCCAATAGTTCGACGCCATCCAGGCTGGAAAAAATTAGATAAATAGAGGAAAAATCAAAGATATAGAGATTATGCTAAGATTCTTTGTTTATTTGAGGACATAACATTTTGTTTCCCAGAGATATATGAAGAAATATAGATGTTTCTCCACAAACATGTTGGGAATAGTGAAAAAAATGAGTTCGCTTAAAAGAGTGAAACATAGAACAAATCTTGCAACAACAAAAAACAGTTTCCTTCATTGCCTTTTTTTCTGATGGAAATTACTTCAGAACATAAAACCAACCTTGAGATCTTTGCATTTCTGATCGCCAACTGACTTTCTTCCCCTTTCATGAGCTTCTCCAACAACGGTTCACCTTCAACTTCTGATCGCAACACCTTATTCAGGATTTGACGGGATGCCAAATTTTTGTAGATCTACAAAAGACAGTGCCATCATGAAGAAAACTTTATACGAAATTACCTCCTTCCGCTTAGGATCAAGCTCCGTAGCCAGTTTGCCGAGATTCGACAAGATTTCCTCGTGAGATTCGGCTGGTTGCGTTTCCATCAAACATAATGTGTACATATAGCGTGCCCACTAAAAGGTAATTTTCGAAATATTTACACTAAGAAAGAAAATAGAAAAACTATTAACAACCGAAAAGTTGAGAAGCTAATGGTATCATAAAAATGACAAAAACACATTGTATAAATTCCACAAATCAAGGAAAATCTTGGAGATAGGTAACTATAAGAAATTAATTACCATATTTTGCGGTTCCATTTCCATCAACTGTTTGCAATTATCTGTTATCGATTTGATGGCAACATTGGGTTCACGTTTGGTCAGATCAAATGCTCGTCGTAAGAGTTCCTGAAAAATTCGGGTTATGATTTTAAAGCAGAAGCCATAGCAATTTGGAGCACAAACGACTCTCAATAACGATTCCAAAACCAGAATCGTTTCTTCCTTCACTTTTTTCGACAAACAAACGGCTTGGAGCAGGAATGAGGTAACAAAAAAAAAGAGAAAAGTGGTTTCAGAAAACAAATTTGAGAGAATTAAATGCAGTCACGGACTTCAAAATTGCTTTTCTTGAAAACAAAACCAACCTTATTAACATATGGTTTTTTGGAGATATCAATCAGATCTTTGTTGTCCTCTTGGTTGACTCGAACGCTGCAGCTTTTATCTGACATGCATTGCCATATCCGAGCACTTTGTGGATTCGATACGAGAGCTGACACCTGGAAACATCGTGTGTACAACACCCCACATTACACCCTCCATTTCCAAAATTACCCCTCTCCACTCCGCGTCTTCTAACGAATTTACGTAGGGAAAGACTTCATTGAGCGTGCAGGCTTTCGACATGACGACGGTGGTGTTGTTTCCATGGAAAGACACTGTCAGAGGCACGGCCGGTGACAAGGAATCGGGCCTTACTGAAAAGAGAGTTCTTCGACGTAAAGGGCCGGGCAAATATCACGCGATCTCATCTCCTCGCAACTCTTCGGAGCAGACAAGTATAAGTCTATTGC